CGTGCGACACTGAAGACTGGAGTAATGATGCTGAAAATTCATCTTTGCATCACAGGAATAAATTACATATTAAAAATATTAAACTAGAAAAATTTTTATATCATTTTAAATAGTGATAATATTTCACAATATCACTGTTCTTACTGTATTTTGATTCATTAAATGCAGGCTTGCTGAGCATAAAAAAACCCTTCTTTTTAAAAACAATTTCAAAATCTTACAAACCCCAAACTTTTGAACAGCATAGTGTATTTTTTTGTACATTTTTATATATATATATATAATTAATCTGGATTACGTAATCAGATTCCAAAAATGAATTACTTGTAATTAGATTATATTACATTTTAAAATACTCGTAATCAGACTACAGATTACATGCTTATATTATTCACACAACAGCAATATATTATTCATAATTTATTGAGTCTCAAAAATTCTTGTTTTTCATCTCTTAAATGTTCACCTAATATATCTGCTTGAAGTCTCCTTGAGATTTTAAGGTATTTTAATAGTTAAGTAACACATTTGCATGTTCACGATTCTCTGACTTTATTAAAGGGGTCATATGATAATAATTTTGTGTATTTGGTGTAATGAAATGTGTTTATGCGGTTTAAGGTTCAAAAAACACATTATTTTCCACATACTATTGAAATCGCATCATATGACCCCTTTAATGGTCACATGATGTGGAGGTAAACCAATAAAATATTTCATAATTTTTAGTAAGTGTTTTATTTTGATTTGTTTTTTTGTTTTTTTTTAATTTATTTATTTTAGTTTTACAATTTTATGATTTCATTAATTATTAGCTTTTCATTAAACTCCCGAAACTCCTTCAGTTCCTTCACGAACCCCAGTTTGGGGAAACATTGAAGTAATGTAATGTTTAATCCACTTCACGTTGTTAACAAATGGAATAAATTTTTTTTCCCTTTGTATTTTTATATCAATAACCTATTTACATCAATGTGATAAACGAGTTTGACTCAAAAGTAATCAAATTATATTACCTTATATGTGACCCTGGACCACAAAACCAGTCATAAGGGTCAATTTTTCGAAACTGAGAATTATACATCATCTGAAAGCTGAATAAATAATAATTGTTAGGATAGGACAATATTTGGCCGAGATACAACTATTTGAAAATATGGAATCTGAGGGTGCAAAAAAATCTAAATATTGAGAAAATCACCTTTGAAGTTTTCCAAATGAAGTTCTTAGCAATGCATATTACTTATCAAAAATTAAGTTTTAATCTATTTACAGTAGGAAATTTACAAAATATCTTCATGGGACATGATCTTTACTTAATATCCTAATGATTTTTGGCATAAAAGAACAATCAATAATGTTGACCCATACAATGTATTTTTGGCTATTGCTACAAATATACCCCAGCAACTTGAGACTGCTTTTGTGCTCCAGGGTCACATATGTTTAATGTAATGGACTACGTTACTGACGACAATTTTTGTCATGTCATTTGGAATCAGTAACGGACTACAATTTGTAAGTAATCTACCCAGCACTGGTTATTTGATGGTTATGAGGGAAAGGTCACTCACAGGGTCAACCTGCCATATAATGACTGTTGTGTCTTTGGATCCCGAGGCCAGTTTGGTGCCGTCGTTGGAGAACTTACAGAACCAGACTTCATTGCAGTGCTCTGTCAAGATCTGCTGGGTGTAGCAGGGGAACTGCTTCCTGGAGACGACAGTCAATGCATTTCAGAGAGCCCAACTTGTTCTTAAACTTGTATTCATTAAAGAGCCTACATCAGACCATACTGACAAATACAATGACGATCTCATATATATGAGGAAAACAGACACTGCAAAGTGAGCTGAGCCGTTTCAGTACCAGTGAAATTTCACACTAATTCTAGTATCAAAAGAAAAACATATATGCTGTTGCTAGGTTCATTAAAATAATAGCATGTTGCCTTCTCAAAGAAGTAAACATGAGAAGGCTACGTGTATTCAATTAAACAGTAATATAGACAAATTCAGAGCAGTGAGTGATTTTGAATCACTCACAAAGAAAATAAAAAAAAAAGCTAAATATGACTACTCTGAAGAATTTGAGAGCTTTTAGCTCTGAACAATTTTGGGAAAAACTTTGGGCATACTCTACAAGAACCAGCTTAAACCTTTTTTGGGAACTATAAAGTGTATTTAAAGAGTTTAAAAAAAATCTCTTTCCATTCGAGGCCACAATGTTTTTAATGCATTCAATATGACTTAAATAATAATAAATAATAAAATAAAATAATTACTTTACAGTATTTTAACTGTAAAATTACAACACCAATATTGATGCATATTGATTTCTTAGTTTTTCAAAAGGTAAGCAATCAAGCTTTATTTGCTCTTAAAGCTTATTACTAGTTTATCTGTACTTATAATGCACATATTAATGCTTTATTCTCCATGATCATATTCTAGATGCCTTAACCCAACCTAATACCTAAACTTAACTTCTACAACTACTTTACTTACTATCAATAAGCAGCAAATTCTGAAAAGGAGTTTATTGAAGTGAAAACTCTTAGTTCATAGTGAATATGTGTTCCCTAATCTAAAGTGTTATCAAATATTAAAAAGATACTAGTAGACAGCGAAGCAACTCACTAGAGTTTGGAACAGAGCTTGTGTCTGATCTTGTTCGTATCATTTGCATAAACACTGACAATATACGTAAATCTGACGACTGTACCTGCTGCACACGTGGTCTATGAGCAGAGACATGTTGTCCAGTCCGCTGTCCAGTTTGGTGTTGTGATAGAGACAGCGATCTCTCTGAAGCTCCACGGCCTGACGCAAGAGCGCCTGCAGACGACGGGGCGGCAGCATCACAGACGGAGGCAGGTACGCTGTGTGAGAGACACAGAGATGGAGCAGAGAGGGTTAGACTCAGTTTCATCTGAATTCAGCCAACACAGGACATCAAGTGAAAGTCACATCTACGCTGGTCCTTCACGCTCTTTAGGTTAGCACCCGAATTCAATTCATCTCCTGAATTGGCTGAACTGAAATAGAACTGACCCGAACCCTAGCTGAAAAAAAGAATTACAAAAAACTATACAAATGAAAAAAAGAGGGGATGAAGAGAGGAAGAAGTGAACAGAATTGTCAACTTTTGTTTTTTTTGAGCAAATACGTTTTGTTTTGTCAAGAACTAGATCTTCTAGCAGAAGGATGCAGCTTAATGAATTTGCTAAATAAATAAAACATTTTTTTGTGTGTCTATCAGCTTGTTACTATAATCAATACAGCACAACCTCTCATTTAAATGTAATTCATAAATATTATTAAAATATAGAAATCATCTTAGTTTTCTTGTCACAATCAAATGAACATCAGAGTGAATTTTGAATAATTTCAATCAAATTAAATAAGCCATTGTTGACATTTTCGTTACACTAAAAACTTGCAATTTATTAAGGTACAATACGTTTTTAATTGTTTCAAATTGTTCTTATTTCCCCAATATCACATCCATCCTGTTAAGTCTTTTATAATATCCCTTTAGCTAACAACAGTTCCCGAATGACATCATCCTCCAGGAAGTGACATCAGTAGCACAAACATCAGTAAGGTTTAACAATGGATTTGATCAATTCTGAGATGTCTTGTGGTATCAGTTGATAAAACATTTAACCCTGTTTGATCTAATTACAAAAATATTTCAGTCCTGTTAGGAATCATGTTAATGTTCTTTCCATTATGTAATAATCATGTTATAATTATATAATTAACACATTTAAAATAATATAGTTAAGTGTCTAAGCTTGACCAGAGAATATTTCTGAAAGTTCGTTTGAACCATTTATTAATATTTCCCTTAAATTAAAACACAAGCATATTTATTTATGCGTATGTGTTTCTGTGAACTCACTCTGCAGCTTGTCGAGGAGTTTGGATCGTGCGGCCGTCCCTTTCCCTTCCCATTCAGCTTTAGCACGCAGGTCATCAGGATGACTGCACATCAGGTACCTACAGCAGAAGCACAGACAGACAGCAGGATGAGCAACAGGCCATCGACTGCTACACGCTGATAAAATAAGGCTGGAGCCTCAGAGCTAGTCGACTTTAATTGAGGCATTTTTTTGCTGTTGTCTCTTAAAAGTCAACAGGTTATCACCTTTTGCATCAGATTTAATTTCTATATTATTTCTGTTTCTATTCTCTACAGAGAAAAGTAGGGTGGGACTTGATTTTAGAAAGGTGGAGCAACTTTTATTTTGATTTCATGTTGACTTTAAAATTAGATGAACACTTTCTTTAAATGAGAGGCAAGCTACATAAAAAACTAACTTTATTTTAAGATGATGTTGTTACACATTGCATATGCTTATTATAGTAATAACAGAAAATTATGCATAATTACAAGAAACTAACCCTAAACCAAACCCTAATCTTAACCATACAGAAAGCACATTAAGTTAATTTATATCACTCCGTACTTATTAGGGTTGCACGATATTGGATTTTTGCCGATATCCGATATGCCGATTATTTTCAACTCATTTTGCCCGATACCGATATATAATTATTTTAAATTTTGGTTAGTTTTTAACAAGAACTTATTTGTTAGAATTAAATAAACAATAATAAAGTTATTTTATAATAACAGTACATTGAAGATTTGAAAATAACTATAAATAAACTATATATTAATCACTGCATTGCATTTTTTTTTTCAGAAAGATGCAGTGGTAACCTTAACATTTTATTTTAAGATTTAACATTTGTAGATGGTCTAAAGCAAAAGAGTTGTAAAAATTCTGAAAATCTTTTAGAGCTCATAATTTGTTTAAAAAATCTAACATATTACACATTAATGAATAAATCAGTATATATAAAATTATTTAATTTAAGTGTCATGTTTGTGATTTTTTTTCATGTAAGCTATAGCTTCTGACCTTTAAATCAAAACATACTCATGATTTTATGACATCAATTACTGCTCTATTTAATCAGAAACACAGTCTAAATATTATTTGTG